TATGGGTCCCTAATAGATCCTTTAATAAGAGGTAGATATTTAACAAAGAAGGCAGACACTGGCAGCAGCTTCTCCATCCTAAGAATATTCTGTGAAATTGATTTTCCCCAATAAAAATTGGGGGTATTGCAACATTCAAAAATATTGTAAAGAATGCACAAATATTGAACAGCCTGAAACTTCTGGAAGAAGTTAAAGAGGTCCCATGTCTTCTCAAACCTGTAGCATTTTATCTGACAGAGTTAGTTTCCAGTTATTCCGAAGAGCACAGTTTCCCTGTTTTGGGTGTGATATTAGAAAAAAGAGAAAAAAACTTTAGAAAAAAAAGAAGAGCGAGTTTGAAAGCAACTTTTAAAACATTCAAGCAGTATTTATTCCCTGTTCTCTTGTGCTTCTTGCTGCTGGCCATGGTGACAGGGAATTTTTTTTTTTTTTTTTTTTGAGAACAGGGAATTTTTTTAATGACAGAATGGAGTGGTACATCAGACCAGGAAGACAAATTACCCAAGGTCAGAAATGGTCTCTACTGGGCTGTCCTTGGGCCTGTTGGAATAGTTCGCTTACTAGATGAATCTTCCTTAAGGCTTTCATTTCTTTTCTCAATCATTTTTCCAAGGGAAATAATTGTGGCAAAATTATTGATCTTATAAGGGTTAAGGAACTCGATTGTACTTTAAATTTATAACACAAGAGTTTATAAAGCTATAGGAAAGGTTAAACCCAGGAAATCCAAGAAGAAAGCCTAATTTGACCTACATTTCCTTTGATTGTTGGTTATTTTTCTCTTAAATTATTTAGATAATCTACTTTGCTTTTTGATTGATACTGGCTGGACATATAGTATAACTCCCTTCTCATAGAGCATATAAATATTTCTTTAAAAGTGAGGTTTGATTTTTTTTCTCCTTCTACAATTAAATGAGACCAGGTAGAGGTTCACATGTCTCTGGTACCTATTTAAAATACTCCTTTCTAGAAATAGTGTATGTGATTTTTAAAAAAGTCAGAGGTTGGAGTCAGATGACCTGAGCATGACAGTAATTTTAGACAAGCCACTTGATTTTATTGATCTTTTGGTTGCTTTTCTCTATAATGATGATGGTAACTTTTCTCCCTGACATTACCCCATATATGTGAAAGACGTGTATAAACGCAGTCAGTATAAACTCACATACTGTAGTTAAAAAGAGAACTCAATGAAACAAATTCTCTCTGCTGTTTGGAGTCAATTTTGTAAGGAAAGAATACAAAAAAAAAAGTTAAGTGTAGTCTCATTTACAAAGAACAATTCGCATATATATGTAAATATATGATTTATTTATGCATTTAATCATGAAGAAACTAGGGAAAAATCAGTTCAGTTGAACATACAATAATTTTATCAACATAGTCTTTGCAGAGAAATAATTCACTTAATCAAAAAATCACAATACTGAATTTTACAGTTAAACCCACCCCACATGCGGGTTGTAGAACTATGTTACAGAATGTTTTGATGGAATAAGATAAATATAAAAATAATTCAATGCAATTTCCGTTTAGCACATTGGACAAAACTCATTTTTCAATTGGATTAACAAGTTTACGATCTTTCTCATTAGGTGTTAAGCACTCTAAGTGCTCAGTGGCATTGAGGCTGAAACCAGGAAACCAATACCGTAGAGCCCCACAGTGATACAGCTCGATCATAAATGAAATTATAAGGTAGATGCACTCCACCTTGAAAGTAGTGGGATTTATGATAGGCAGAGTAACTCTCATCCTTTAATAAGGAAGAAAAAGTTTCCAATGTACTCAGTCCTACTATGAAACTAATTTAGGTCATAGGAAAGCTATAACCCAATTTTAGCCCAGGAATATGGGGAGAGGAGAGAGAGAGGGGAGGGGAGGGGAGAGGGAGGGTGATTGGTGGGATCTCACCTATGGTTCATCCTATAAGGGTACATGTGAATCTCTCTAAATGTAGAATATAAATGTCTTAATACAATAACTAAGAAAAAGACATGAAGGCTATGTTAACCAGTTGGATGAAAGTACTTCAAATTGTATACAGAAACAGTACACTGTACTCCATGACAGTATTAATGTACACTACTATGATTTAATAACAAAATAAAAAAAATAAGGGGTGGAACAGAAAGGATTCATGTATGTATCAATACAATTATAATAAAAATGAGTTTAAGATTGATTTCACCACTTTTGTAGTGAATACTGTTTCTTGGAGACAAAGTAAAAGAAACAGATAAGTTGGAAAAGGAGAGAGACACGAGAGGCCTAGACAAAGGAAGTTTACAGCGCTGCTACAAGCCACTCTCTGAGACTGATCCTCCATACAATTCATGACAGCAGTTTTCAGATTTTACAGTTTATCATAATTACCTGGATTAAACCACTTAAAACTTCAATTACTAGGACCCAACCACAGTTTCTAATTTAACAGGTGGGAGAAGAGACCAGGAGGCAAGTTCCAGATGATGCTGATGCTCCCATGAAGGGACCAGTCCATCGTGTGGCTCGTTGGTCTCTAGTCCAGTGTATCTTGGATCACTGAATGGCTCCATTATTCACTAAAATGAAAAACAAAAACACTTCCAACAATTGTACGTCTGGTCCTGAGAGACAGCGTGGATTGTGTGATGATACACACTGATGTGTAGACCTATATAAAACTAATGAACTCTGAATCTCTAGGGTGGGGCCAAAGGTTGAGTCATTCAGGAAAGTCTGTGTGTGTGGTCCGGCTTTAGGAAATTCTTTTACCTCCTCACATAGAGAAAAGGTAGACAGATACGTGCCTTGGGAGGCACTGGTATGTCTTCAGGGAAATCAAAACTCTTAGGAGGCTGGCTGATGCACAACTAGAAAATAATATCGGGGTAATTTAGAAAGTATTTGTGACTCTTGATTTACAGTGGACTGCAGGGTTAGCTCACAGGGTAGAAATATCAAAACTTGGGAAGGGGACCAGCGCACTAATTTGATCCCAGTTTCCTTCCATTGAATGACCTCAACTGAAGAGTCAAGAGTGCTGATGTGTTGTTCACCTGCTCTAATTATTATACTCATGCCACTTAGCTAAATTATTTACTACCTTGATTTAAATTTGAGTGGCCTTAGAAATAAGGCCCCCAGGAACAAAATGCTGGAAGCTACCATTTTTGTAGTCTACTTGAGAAAGCAGAACTACAGAAACACATACACACACACAAAGGGGCATTTTGAAATAAGATTTCTACTTTAAATTACTCTTCTAGCATAATTAAAAAGAATGAATGAAAGTGCTAAGTGAAAATACCCGCCATGGCATCCTTTTCCTGAGGGATTCAGAGCTCTAGAGCAATGTTAATCTTGAATGTATGGGAAAGGGACCTTTAGAGCTCATTTTCAAAGACCAAGTTGTTGTAGCCCCAGTCACAGATTGTAAAGGAATCTCCCATGTATGAAATTGGGATTATGCAAAGAATCAGGGCTATGACATTAAGACTATGGATTATAAAATAAAAAGAATTTAAACAAACTTGAGGCATCAAGACTGGGCCTTTTGGTGATCTTTGGTAAAAGTCAAATGCGTGAAAGCTATCATTTTTATTTGAATCTAGAAAAAGATAGTTGTATAGAACGTGGAACAACCTGGCAGTTCTCCATTAGGAACCAGGGTTCCTGTGGAGGGTTCTGCGATCTGCCTGAGCTATTCTCAGAGCGCTCACTGAGCTATGAGCCGCTGGCCAGCCAGCATGGACAGATTGGGAACCATCTCAGACAAGCACAGTGATTAAAATAAAAACAAAACAAAAACCAAAAAAACAAAAAATATAAAATCTCAAGTCCCGGTGAGATGATTGGGTGAATCTTTCTCTACTCTTCATGTCTTCCAGAAGACTTCTTTAAAACACCCTGAAAAATAATAGAAAGGTTGGTAGTACCATGGATGTATTCACTCAAAACTCTACAAACTGGGCACTAAGGACATGGGGACACCAAGGAAATACAGGAATATGTAAAAAATAACATTTTGGTTTTTAATTCCACTCTTCAGTATTTATACATTTAAATATCATATATTAAGTCTGTTTACGTCTCATTTATAAAAATATATAGAATAGATTAAGCTTTATAAAACCTCTCCGTCCTTCCTCATAGGGCCCATTTAAAGCAAATGGTCTCAGACAACCCATCCTTCCATACACTAAAACGGAAATGAGCTCTGGATTCAGGTTTGATTCTTTACTTCTGTGGGTTGTCCCTGGTGCACACCTGTATTTCCTCTTCCCAGCCCTGTGGGGAGACAGAGATCTCAGGGCTTCAGAGAATGACTTGGTCACAGGGGGAGCAGCAGTGAGTCCCTGCCCCTGCTCCATCTCTCTGGCCCCTCTCCTGCCAAAAGTGAAGCCTATGGTCTATCTGTGCTCAGGCACCAATGCAGGGGCAGGCCAGCCCAATGCAGGGGGGCAAGCCAGTCCAATACAGGGCCAGGCCAGCCCAATACAGGGGGGCAGGCCAGCCCAATGCAGGGGGGCAAGCCAGTCCAATACAGGGCCAGGCCAGCCCAATACAGGGGGACAGGCCAGTCCAATACAGGGCCAGGCCAGTCCAATACAGGGGAGCAGACCAGTCCAATACAGGGCCAGGCCAGCCCAATGCAGGGGGGCAGCCCAGCCCAATACAGGGGGGCAGGCCAGCCCAATACAGGGCCAGTCCAGCCCAATACAGGGAGGCAGGCCAGTCCAATACAGAGGGACAGGCCAGCCCAATACAGGGGCACAGGCCAGCCCAATACAGGGGGGCAGGCCAGTCCAATACAGAGGGACAGGCCAGCCCAATACAGGGGCACAGGCCAGCCCAATACAGGGAGGCAGAGGCCAGTCCAATACAGGGGGGCAGGCCAGCCCAATACAGGGGCAGGTCAGTCCAAAGGCAGGGGACCCACTGCGGAGCTTCTGTTCAGTACCAGGACAAATCAGACCTAAACTCACGCTCACCGCCCGCCAGGAGTCGTCCTAGTGGTTCAGGGGGGCAGCTGCACCCTCACTTTCTCCGTTCACCGTATGCTCTGGCTCCTCCTGGCTTCCAGCGAAATCCGGCTTCCTGGGATGTGCTGCCACCGCCTGTGGGCGCTCTCCGCCGGGGGCTGTCTGCTTCTCTGGTGACTCTTCCCCTGTGCCTGACTCCTGTCCCCCACGCTCGTGCGCTGTCCCTGCTTCTTGGTCCTTTCCTTGCCCTGAGGCCTTCCCTTCCAGGGCCCCCTGTTCTCGGGGAGCTCCCTCGCCACCCTCTGGTGCAGGCGTCACTGTCGCCTCCTGCACCGCTGGCTGCGGCTCCGGGCTCAGCGCTGTCCCCTCCACCGCCACCGTCTCTGCAGTTGCGCCGGGTACCTCCTCCTCTCCACGCTGGGTTTCGTCCCCCGAGACCTCTGACAGGGAGGAGGCTTTATTTGCTGTTGCTTTCCCCTCAGCTGTCTTGGAACCTGCCAACACCTCCCTCGCCCCTGCAGGGGCTTGGGCAGAGGCTCCTCCTTGGCCTGGATCTTCCCTCAACCGTCCTGCCGTCGTGGGACCTGCCCCAGGAGCGTCCTCCCGGGTCCTGACGACCCCCGCTCTTTCTCCCGCACCTCTCCCCCCTAGACTCGCGAGGTGCTCTCGGTCTTCGGCCTCGGGCTCGTGCGCCTGGCTGGGGGTGTGCAGGTCGGGGGGCTGCGGTCCCCCCAGCCCGCCCGCAGGTGCACCTGCAGCTCCTAATCCCCGGCCAGGTCGCAACTCGGCTGGGGCCGCCTCCTGCCCGCCCCGCGGCCCAGCCCCGCTTCGGGGCTGCGCGTCTCCCGCTGCCATCAGTCTCCCCACTTTCCAGTCCTTCCTCAGAGCTGTCACGTTTGCCAGTGACTTTTCAAATCCAGCTGTCGCTTCGAACACGCTCACCCCTCTTTCTCCCAGTGAATCTTCTAGAAGCCCTGGATCTTCAGACGACGCAGACGCCGTCACCGGTGCTTCCTTCTCAGCCCCAGATTGCGCTCCATTGTGGGGGGCGTTTGTCCCTTCCTCAGACACCCCTTCCTTCTCGGTCTTCCCTCCTTCGAGCTCTTGCGTTTCCTCTGCAGCACCCCGGCCCTCAGGGGCGCCCACCCGGGGCTCCTGTCCTCCCGCACGTCCACCTTCGTCCAGGGGCGTCCTCGGCCCCCCGGATCTCCTCCTCTCTCTTGCTTCGTCTAATCCCTGGGGTAACTTTTCCTTCTCGTCATACTCCGTCTTTGGTTCTGGCTCGGTCGCAGTGTCCTCCTTTTCAGCATCTTCCTTACAAAGGTCTTCAGGGCGGCCCCCTGGGACCAGGGTCCCGCTGGGCCCCGCCTCTGCTGCGGAGAGGCTGGATGGTGCCCCTGTTCTCGCGACTCGCTTCCTCTCCCCTCCGAGGGCCGCCTCTGCAGAGCCCTTCCGAGGGCGGGGTGCTGTGTCTCCCCAGGACCCCGCGTCCGCCGGGTCCGCAGGCGCTTCCTCCCCATTGTCCCCTGCAGCCCCCTCTGCAGGGCGCGCCTCTCTTCCAGCGGCCGCTCTCTCGGCCTCTCTCCTCTCCGGGGTCCCCGCCTCTCTCCTCTCCGGGGTCCCCGCCTCTCTCCTCTCCGGGGTCTCGGCCTCTCTCCTCCTCTCCAGGGTCCCGGCCTCTCTCCTCTCCGG